TTGGAGAAGAAGGTGGCGAAGAAAGCAGGTCGACGTCCATGAGGAAGAAGAGAACTTTCGAACAGACCTCCGAAGGATGAAGCTGCGGAAAAGAGTGAGGGAAGAAAGAAAAGGCGAGCAGAAGAGGGGTAGAGAGAGGAGCAGCCGTCAGCCCGGACAGCTGGAAAAGAGAGAGGAGACAAGAAGAGTCACCCGGGTCACGTTGATTTCGAATATGATTCTGTAGATTCGCATTCGTGAAGGTCCGTGCCCTCGAAACTTCATCCTCCTCGTAGCAGACCTGAATGCCCTCCTTACCCGAACCCAGAAAGCTCCTCCTCCTCATCCTCCTCCTCCTCCCGCTCCTCATCCAGCTCCTCCTCCCGCTCCTCCTGCTGCTGCTACTGCTCCTCCTCATCATCCTCCTTCTCTTCCTCTTCATCACACTCCTCCCGCTGCTACTGCTGCTGCTGCTGCTGCTCCTCCTCATCATCCTCCTCCTCCTCCAACTCCTGCTGCTGCTCTTCATGCTCCTCCTGCTCCTGCTCCTGCTCCTGCTCCTGCTCTTGCCCCTGCCCCTGCTGCTGCTTGTTCTGCTGCTGCTTGTTCTGCTGCTGCTGCTGCTGCTGCTGCTGCTGCTCTTCCTGCTGCTTCTGCTGCTGCTGCTGCTGCTCCCCCACCTGTCCCTCCCCCTCCTGCTCCTGCTCCTTCTCTCCTCTTCTCTCCCTTACCCTATCCAATTTCAGCTTCTTCCCTTGTCTTTCCCTCGCCCCTCTTATTCATGTCGCATCTCTTGCGCTCACCGTGATGTTGGGAGGAAGCAATCTCTTCACCGTCTCGATGACATTCAAACTGTCTGTCGACACGAAGACGGACCTGATCGACTCCGTTAGCCTCCACCACCACCGCCTCCTCCTCTTCCACCACCACCACCACCACCTCCTCCTCCTCCTCCTCCTCCTCCTCCTCCTCCACCTCCTCCTCGCTTCCTCTCAACCCTTCTCCACCACCACCGCCACCACCACCTCCTCCTCCTCCTCCTCCACCACCTCCTCTTCCTCCTCGCTTCCTCTCAACCCTTCTCCTCCTCCTCTTCCTCCTCCTCCTCCATTCTGCTGCTGCTGCTGCTGCTGCTGCTGCTGCTGCTCTCCTCTCCATCATGCCTGCATACCTCACATTTTGCCCTCTCGCAATCTCCTCGAGCAGCACCCGTACGTAGCTCTCAGGGGGGATGCGATTCCTTCGCACAAAATGAATGTCAAAAAAAGCTCCTCCCGCTCCTCCCTCTCCTCCCTCTCCTCCCGCTCCTTCTCTCCTCTCATCGCTTCGTTTCACTCACGCCTCCTTCAACTTGTCGCCATGCCGAATGTGCAGGCCAACGACGGGCGGCTCCCATTTCATCCTCCTCCTGCAGCTTCGTGAGCCTATCGATTCCTTCCTCTCCCCTTTCCTCCCACTTCGCGTCGAGCAGCTCGGCTTTGAGCCATGCTCGGGGACGGAGGAGGAAGCGGAGGAGCTGGCCCCGCCACCACGCCACCCCCAGCCCCTGCAGGCCCTCGGGGAGGTAGTTGCGAAGAAGACCCGCCTGAAGCAGAGAGAGTCAAGAATGAGGAGGCGTAACGAAGAGGAAGAGGAACACAAAGGGAGATGCAGATACAGAAATGGAAGAGGAGGAGAACGAGGAGGAGGAGAACGAGGATGATGATGAGGAGGAGCTGAGCAGAACCTTGATCGCTGCTGTTTGCGAGTCCCAATCAAACAGGAGGTGTCGAGGCCCCCCTGAGCGATGGAGGGCGACGTCCTGCTTGTCGTCAAGAGGAGAAGCGCTGAGGGTGTGACATACCCCGAGAGCGAGGAGGGAGGGAGCAGCTTTAGCCTCCTTGTCGTCTACCGAGCAGCTTGAGATCTCCTCGAAGAAGCAGGAGAAGCCACCCCGCCCGCAGTCTCTTCGATCCACCAGCCAGAAGCCATCTTCCATCACTGGGACTAGAACCCTGACGACCCTTGAGATGGAGAGCAGGGGCAGGGGGAGGGGCAGGGGCAGCAGGGGGAGGGGCAGGGGAGGGGCAGGGGGAGCAGGGGGAGGGGCAGGGGGAGGAGATGATGGAGGTGGTGGATGCAGGACCTGTTGGTGTAGAACGCGAGGGTCATTGCGAGGCTTAGCATGTGAGCATGAGCTCCAAAGCCGAAAGCCTGAGACGGGAGGTAGAGAAGTTTCCTTGCCGTCCTGCAGTCGGTGGGCCGTTGAAGCATGTCGAGCTCCTGCTGGACACGCTCTTCCGCCTCCTTCATCTCTTCCTTCCCTTCCCTCCCATCCTCACGTCCCTCAGCCTGACTGGCAGGGCATCTCGCCACCTCCTCCTCCTCGCGGGGGCTGGCAGGCCATGGGATCGCGTCTCCTCGCCGCTGCCATGCTCGTGACCTTTACGTGTGCTCGTGCGGCTGCTCACCGGGTCAGCAAGGACGTAGAGGCGAGTAGACACATCCATCCTCCTCCCTCCCTGCTGTCCCAGCAAACGCCCGTGCTCGATCATCGCATGCTCGCCGCGACCCGCTCGCATGAGAGCAGAGGTCAGGTAGGACGAGTACGCCGAAGACCTGCTGAAAACCATGAGGGACGAGCCGGGTGGACGGGCGAGACGGATGGACGGGCTAGGCCAGGAGGGAGACAAGCAGGGGGAAGACAACCTTGCTTTTGGACTGCAGGAGGAGGAGGCGAGGGCGAGAGCTCGCGGCAGCTGCTTGCACATGTCTTGATGCATCTCCTCCTGCAGGCGGCTAGCTAGCAGGAAGCATCTCGCAGCCGAGTCAAAGTATTCCTGCCCACCTCATGACCAGCAGTGAGTCCAGCAGCTCTCACCTGCTGCTCGTACGTCAAGCCAGCGTAGACGAAGACGGTCGATATCCTCGGGTTCAGAGAGACCGCGAGGAGGTAGAAGCGCCGAGCCCGCATGCTGTTCCCTAACCCTCTGTGCACGTCGCCGATTCGCATCATGTTGTCAAAGGAGGCATGCAGGCTGGGCGATAGCACGAGCGCATGCTCGAGCATGGCCACAGCAGATGCCTCCTCGCTCGCTGATCCTCCTGCTGCTACTTGCATTTGAACACCAAGTTTCCACCTGACAAGTCGTCATCAATGAAGGAGAAGAACCCGTCCAACAGTTCACATCATGATCATGATCATGATCATGATCTCCATCGTCATCGTCATCGTCATCGTCATCATCATCGTAGTCATCATCATCATCATCTCCATCACCATCAGCATCAGCATCAGCATCAGCATCAGCATCAGCATCAGCATCATCATCATCATCATCATCATCATCACCATCACCACCACCACCACCACCACCATCATCATCACCATGATTCTCCGTCTTCCGGGACGTCTTGCACCCTCTTCTCCAGCATGCTGATCGTTTGTTCGACTGAGCTCCGCAGCTCCGGGCCCTTCCCTCCTCCCGCTCGCCTCCCACACACCCCACAGAGGCTGATGAGGGTGACGACCATCCAGACCGACGCAGACCACCAGCCTCGAGTAGAACCACAGGTATGGCGAGATCGATGCCAACGGCAGCGACATGAGAGAGAAAGAGTGAGATGAGAAGGAGAAGCACAGGGACAAACACGAGCGTCAGGTCTATGCGAAGGTAAACAAGCCTTCGTTTGGCAGGGGGAAAGATGAATCGAGCAGGCGAGGGCCTTGGCATGAGCGACATGCCCGCGATGGAGACAAGGTTGATGGTCAGCCACAGGGACTTCAAGGAAAGCTCCATGGCTCTGTCCAGAACAAGATCCAGCTGACCTCTCGGCTGCCTCCTCAGCTGTAGAAGCTGGAGAGTCTGCCATGGCAGGGCAGTGGCAGGGGCGACCGGTCGGATTGTAGGCAACTTCAGAAGATCTACCTCATGAACTTAATGCCTTCAGTTGCTTACTATGAGATTATTGAGGCGAGCCTGCGTAGACGATCCTCTTCAACTCAAAGTTTAGTTAAGCTCGATTCCCTCTGAGGGCGGCCCGGTGGCCGGCGGTGGCCGGGCAGTGACTAGTGAGTGATACCCCCGGGTCAGTAGGCCCGGCTGCAGGTCCGCGGCGATAGGCTGCCGCCGCCGCGTCATGGAGGAGAGGCGCGTCAGGCACAGGTAGGAGGAGGGGAGAGGACTGTGTCGGTGATGAAGTTGACTCCGACAGGTGATGAACATTGATTCTCTGAGATGACAACAAATTGTCTACAATCCAATATGAAGAAAGAGCGGAGAGCACGAAAAAATCACAAAGACAATTCAAATCGCAAAGAGCAGAATTATGCGTCAGAGAAAGGGAAAGACCAGCAAGGGGCACCAAACAAACACCCTTCAAAATTGTCTGTATCACATGGTAATGAAGTTTCGAATACATCGCAAAGGATTTCAGCACAGCAGCTACAAATGCCAAAGTTCTCTGGTGGTATAGGTTCACCACTTGTACTCTAGTTTTGTTTCCTGTTGTACAACCTTTAAAATTTTGTTGCAGGCCAAATATCATCGATCACCATTGCCTGGAAGACTTGGCAAACGAAAATGTCAGAAATGAAGTCAATTTATTCTTTCAAAGCTCCTATATTGATTTCATCACGTTCTAGTCCAGCATACACTACCATCAATAGACGAAGACTTTGAATACGTTCAAAATTCTCAGAACTTTCACTCTGGTATGGTAAGTTCTATTCTCCCTTGAGATTGAACTCAAAGTCAGATGACGGGAGCGTGCTGATATCATCCTCACCAACATTTACTTCCGCGCTCAAAGGTCTATAAGCTGAATCTTCGATCACAGTGACGAGACCAGTGCATAGTATCCTCACCATCTCCTGACTTTACAACTCGCTTGCGAAGTTTCGATGCTCTGACGCCAGGTGTCGATGAGCGTTTCGCGCAGGATCACTGAAATTGTTCCAAAACGTGCAGGCACAACCACCAGGCTGATTGAAAGATTCGAGAAACTGGATGAGGTTCTTGACGAAGAGGACCGGAACATTCGATCATCGTTTTCATCTCCCATGCTTTCAAATACTGATGATCTGCCACGAACTAACATGATTCGGCATCCCTTGACTCCTGGTAGCATTTTTACATTATCATCCAATCACATTGAAACCGTCTTTGGAAGGAACCACACAGAATCTAATTAGTAGACTCGAGCAGTTGGATAGCTTTGCGACCACCACACCTGTACGTCAGCGCACAGCGGGAGAAACAAGTTTCAAAGGTTCAACGGACAAGAATAGCAGTGAAGGGTCATTGGATTGTAATGACTTAACCCGCCCTCTTGACCTCGATCTGAGAGATACGGATGAAGACTCAATTTGTGATAATTGCACATGGGACTCACCACTTGATTCTTTGATTTCAAACAAAAGCTCCAATCCCTCTGCTTTACTACCAAATGGACAAGAACAAGAAATGTCAGACCTATCAGGTTCACTTGCCATCCTCCGAGTTGCTTCCATTCACATCTGTTGATTTCTTCCACCTCGTCATTTCCTCCTGCACCATGGGCATAACATAGCATGGAAGGTATGTTCTCGAATGTCCTTGAATATTTGATGATCATGCTTTCGAATGCTTAGCTCGCCGAAAGAGACCAAGAACAAGGAAACGATGCTATCTTTGGAAAAATTATCTATACAGGTGCTATTCACATCTGAAATTCTGATCACCACTAAAAACAAATGACTGCATGAAAGAACCCCGAAGAAGAATTTATCTGGCCTCTGCCCGCAGGATTTTGCAGCTTATTCCAGTTTGGGAGAATTGTAGGTAAGTTCCACAAGTGAGATAATAAGGCATTTCCTATGAGGATCCAGCGATACGTTGTGATTGCTCATCAATCACATCAGGGCAATTGATGAAAAGAAAGTGAATAGAATGGTCAATTCCAACCTCTTTCGGAGTACCGTCCCGGGCTGCATTTGCATTTTCACTATGGATGAAGCAGCCGACCATGGACACTCTGAGCAGGTACAGTCAAGTTTGTTTCCGAGGCGATGATGGCTTTGAAGGGTACAGCAATCATCGATGGGCAGCATCGGATGAGAGCTGCGGCAGAGGTTCTGTCAAAGAACGATCTTTTCTTTGACCTCAGTGTCGTGGTGGACTTGATCTCAGTCTCTTCTCTGAAGGAAGTCGAAGCTCTGTCTGACTTCAGTAGCCAGAAAGAGAAAGTAGATCAAACCAGTGCTCGAGCTTGCATCAACATCAGCAATACGTTCGTTGTGCATAACAAGCAAACCAACAAGAAAGCGAGGACGCACAAGAAGATGTCTTCGCAGGTGGTTAGATCCCATGAGTCTCTTCACAACTTGTATTTCTGTGTGCACGTCGAGGATGAATGGAGGAAGGAGAATGGTTTTCAAGTGTGGGAGATCCAAGCATGGAACTCTCATGGTTTTCCCATTCGAGGCAAGCAGTGGATCGAGCATCACAGCCTGCCCGATCAGCAGCGAGGCAGCTTCAAGTTCTGCAGGAAACCAGGAAAATCCTCTCGTCTCGTCGACGACACCGCTACCCCCTTGTGGGCCCCTCATTCATGGAGTCAGGCTCGATTCTCGGAGCATTTCCTGACGATATCGGGTGATGCTCGTGGGAGATTGAAAATCTTTCAATATCTCATGCTTGAAGAGGAGCAGAAGCAGGTTTTGCAAGCTCATCAGAAATTATGGAATGCGAAATCGTGAGACATTTGGGGCTGTTCTCTCAGCCAGCCGTTCAGTCTTACTTAGAAAGAATCTGACTGTATTTGAAGAGAAGCTGATGTTGAGAAGACAACACTCTTCACATTTTCACTCTCCTCCTTCACGCGGCTCCTCTTGCCTTCGTCGCAACAGAACCTCTTTCACTCCTCCGATGCCGCTCGGTCCTCCCACATCTACACCTGACCGTCTTTCCCTTGCGATCTGTACAAGTAAGGAAAGAAAGAATCGTGCAGGCTGTCGTCCTCCCCCAGCTTGTACCTGTCAAGTGTAAGGCATCGCCTTCCCTTTCTCTCGATTGACCTTCCGTAGATGTACCCAGGCTTCTCGACGAACTTCACGTCTCCTCTCAGAACATGCACCGCTAACGCTCTTCTGTCTCGCATCTTCGACTTGTTCTCGCCGCTGCCATGCCTGGGCGCTCGTCAGCTGCAGTCAGGTCGTGACTGATCTCACCAAGTGTTCTGGTGGTGGGCGACTGCGGACCCTGCGGGCACCAGGAGGCGGGCGATGTTCACCTGCGACATTTCCTTCCCTGCGGATGCTGCTGCTCGTCGCAGACCCTGCTGGTAGTCTCGCGCGGCATGAAACTCAGGCGCCAACTCTCTGTCGGCCTCCCACTCATGGGAACCAGACGCGTACTCGATGACGCCAGTCTCCTCGTCCGCGTCGTCCAGCGCGCACCAGAACGTGATGCTGTTGTTCTCCTCCTGGGCAAAGAGGTCAGGGGATGTCAGGGAGGAGCTGCTGGTACCGGGATGAACTGCTTGCTGATGTAGGGCGAGTCCTGATGCCACGAGACGCTTCCTGCCCCCGCAGGCTTCCAGATGATGGAGTCTTGCGCTATGCGTGCTGATGGCCAGCCCATGAGCTCGCACGCGGCTCGGCCGAACCTCTCTCCCAGCACGATGCTCGCGATGGTCTTGTCGCTCTTCCACCCGTTGCAGATCTCACGGACGGCGCCGGGCAGGCTGATGCCCTTCCTCCAGTGCCACTCGTCTGGGTAGATGCCGGTGTCGAAGTCGCCGGCGAAGAGACGATCCATGCGGCTCCTGCAGGCCTCCACCTCCTCCTTGCTCAAGACCTCCCCCAGCTGCACAAAACCCTCCCTCCTGAAGCTCGTCCTCGCCTCCTTGCTGATGTGAATCCCCATACTCACACGGCAGTTGGTCGCATGCAGCCTGCGAGGGCATGGAGGCAGGCGGCTGAAGGCTGCGACTTGAGATGAGCAGCAGAGGAGAAGGAACGCAGACAAGAAGAGAAGCCATGCTCTCATCGCCTCCTCCAGCATCTCCTTGCTCCTCTACTCCTCCTCTTCCTTCAGCCTCCCCTTGCTCCTCTACTCCTCCTCTTCCTTCAGCCTCCCCTTGCTCCTCTACTCCTCCTCTTCCTTCAGCCTCCCCTTGCTCCTCTACTCCTCCTCTTCCTTCAGCCTCCCCTTGCTGCCTCCTCGCCAATTTTTTTGAGCCACAAACTTTTAGGCGGGAAAGCGAAGAAATGGGAGAGCAGGGGAGCGAGAGGGGGAGGCGGAGGTGGGGGAGGGAAGGGAGGGAGGGAGTAGAGATTCGAGAGGACTAAGCAGAAATGGATGGAAACAGAACGAGCAGGCATGGAATATTTCTTGAATAGGGGAGAGAGAGCAGGATCTGAGAACATTTCAAGTCTTGAAACAGCAGCTTTCGAACCGATGGAAACGTCAAGGCCCTCGGGATCGATTGACGATCGACGTCTGTGGGGGATGGTATAAATTGTATGTGAATGTTCTCCACGTGCATGAAACTGTTCAGGTACATGACATGCAAGTTACGATGCCCAACCTCTCGACGAGGTTCCGTCGAAAAGATCCTCGTGTGAAGCTCCAGGCGTGTTCAATGATGCTTCAAGTAGTTCGAAAGTCAAACTTCAGTCATCTCGATGAGTTCAGCTTCCAAGATTCTCTCATTTTCTTCAACTCCTCAGGTGCTTTGCAAGTCGATGGTGTACTCTCAAAGACGTTGGTGGCAGGCGGGAGGCAGGAGGTGAGCCTCAAGCAGCTCGCTCTTGTCTGCATCCTCATCTCGTCAAAGATCTTTGACGCAAGACCAGTGAACTCAAAGTTGCTCAATCTGCATCCTTACTTTACAGATGTCGGGGCGAACCATGTGAGTATGCGCCGATATGGAGGGGACATTCATTCCTCTCTTCAGATAGCGAGCTTAGAGCTGCAGGTCTTGACGCTACTTGACCATGATGTCTCCCGACCTCTCGTGGTTCCTCGAGCTCTGCCTTGCCATCGACACGCTCACGGCAGTCGGTCAGGTGCTGCTGTATGATGAGGCCATGAGCCTTGCGGACGAGGAGGACGAGGAGGACGACGACTCGCTCGCAGTATTGAGCTGCCGAGTGTTGGACGTCCTGTACATCTTCTTCAGCGGCAACGAAGGGCTCGGCGTGCTGGCCAACGTTCCCTTCGATCTGCTGGCAAATGCCGTCTATGCCGCTGCTTTCTCGCTTGTCATCTGCAATGAAGTCGAGCAGCCTCTCGGGTCGCTCCTCTACTGCCGTGAGAGTCTTCCTGCTCGCCTCTCCTCTCTTGTCTCTTCTTGTCTCCTCTTGTCTCCTCTTGTCTCCTCTTGTCTCCTCTTGTCTCCTCTTGTCTCTTCTCCTCACTCTCCTGCAGTGGCAGCTCACCAGCGACTCGCTCCATTCTGGACGGTCGCAGACCTCCAGCTCGTCGCCAACGTTCTGCTGGACAATGTCCTGACAGACGCGCAGGCTTACAGGTTCAAGCTCGTGGAGGAGGAAGAGCCGCAGGACGTGAACAACTTGAGGCAGCGCAAGTGAGGCGACGCTGATGGCATCTAATCCCCTCGTCCTGATCCTTCTCCTGCCAGAACCTTCGCACCGCAAGCAAACGAGCAGCCTTGACGATCGCCTGATACAGTGAGATCGCTTTATTACAACTTCAAAATCAAGTGTCGCCCAAACTGCCCTGGAGGTAGAGAGGCTTGACATCCGAGTGGTCGAACTTCTTGCCACAGGACGGGCATCTTCTACTTCTGTCTTTGATGAGATTTTCCACGCACTGTCAAGAGATCTTAGCGACAGGAGGCAAGGAGGCATAAGGTTTACCTTCTTGCACGTCGCATGCCCGCAAGGAAGCACGCGATCTTTGTCTTCCTCGTTGCAGAAGCACTTGACACAGTTGCGGTAGTGCTTGAGCAGCTCATCTTTCGCACTATCGCCTGACCCTGACTCACCCGTGGGGGTGCGTTTCTCCTGCAGGGAGGGCCAGTGAGTCAACTTGAGGGAGAGAGGGAGGGGGGAGGGGGGAGGGGAGGGGAGAGAGGAAGGACGAACGAAGAGAACGAA